TTAATATTATATTATATTATATTAATATTATTAATATTAATATTAATAATAAATATGAATATTATATTAATATTAACATTAATATTACACAAAATTTAATTTACGTCAAAAACAATATTTCTTTCAAATATTTCTTTTTAATACCACGTCTATATACGTAGACTTGAATATTTAAAATATATTTCTAATCTAACAGCAACTCCATTGGCATAAAGAATTCTTTAACTTTTTAAATACGAATTTTTATTACTATAATTAAAAGTATAATTCAATCGTTGATTTTACCTTCATTAACATACAATACTTGTCCAAATTATGAAATAAAATATATATTAAATACACATTAATAAATTTTTTTTTTGTTTTTTAATATCATTTACTTATATGTGCATTTACTTAACACTCAGCCACATATGATAGTATATCTTTATATCTGCTAACATTTAAGGGATTTATTTGAAAAAGCAGTGAATTAATAGCCTAAATTAAATATAAAACTTCCATATTCTCAATAAACATTTATTTAATTATTCAACGACATTTATTATTTCTACATTTATCTATTACTTAAATACATGTATTTACTAGCATATCAAAACTTTTATATTCTACATAAACATTTGTTACTGATATCATAATAAATACGGAAAGTTACGCGATAATAACTTCAACCCCATATAACACAATATCACTAAAAAATTATGAAAAAAAAATTTGTAAAATTTTTTTACACTAGAACTACCGATCTATAATGTATATCTAAATATAGAACATATATAAAAACAATAATAATTAATACTAGAATTACCAAACAAGTCAAAAGGTCCCAAACCTTTTCTTTCTTCAATTACTGTAAATACTTTTGACAAAATTAAATATTAACTCTAGTTAAAATGCAAAACATAATTATATATATTTTCATCGTATTACTGTAATTATTATCTACGTAAACTATGTTGGGTACACATTACAAGTTTTAGTGTTAAAGTGATATAATAAAAATAAATAGCTATCTTTAAATAATCTTTATTTTAATAAGAATGAAAATTAATTTAGTCAAAAGCAGTTGCATTTTTCCAACAAACGTAAAAATAAAATCAATAGAATCATTGATTTGAGCAATTTGGTAGTTCTATTGTTAAAAATTATTTTGTATCTTCATTACTCCATCTTTATCTTGTTTTACACCATTACTTGGTCACGAAATAATCTATTTACAGCACTTTCATAACAATTCTTCATAACAATTCATATGAATAGAAGATTTCAAAGCAACTTTTCTTCATTCTCAAAGAAGAATCCGGTTATAGGGATTACCTAATTTCTAAAATTACTTTAACGAATAGAAATCTACAAACAATTATCAAATAATAATTCGATTACAGGGAAAGTGAACTAAGCAGTCCATCCATTTGGAATACGGCCTATGAGCTAATTTATCAGTGGATAGGCCAATATATCACGCCATTCCGTTGGAGTGATGCGCCCATTAATAAAGCACTTAATTCATTCTTAGCTTCAATGACGACGGTGGATGTACGTATCAAGATCCGTGTACACATGGAAATTAATTTTAACACTAAACTTACCATGATCTAAATAATCGTTTTTGAATTTTCGATTAAAAATTCCTCGTTCAGTATTACAATTTTGGTCACTTTCTTCGCGATTTTTCTTCTGAAGTACAGAATGATCAATTTTTCAATATCTCTTTTTACTTAATTTTTCAGCCCTTTGCAGTCCTAATACTTTTTCAATTTTCTTTCCGATAGCTCCCTATTATTTTGAATTTTTCTTTAAATATACTTAGAATAAACGATAGTAGGCTTATAGAAACAAATTAAATTAGATTTTATTTACTGATGATTTTGATAATATATTTTACATATTTCTATCTCTTTCATTTTTTGTCGTAATAGGTCGTGGTAGGTTTACTGTTAAAATATTAGAAATAAAATAATCTGAAATAAATAATTAGCAAAAGATTGTTTTATACGAACAATTGAAATTTTGAAATGACTGAAACGAAGGATTGGAACTTAGAAAGCAATTAGAACAATTAAAGACCAATTTTTTCGAAGAACGATTGAGAAAGTATTGTTTCAAAAAAGAAAACAATTGGAATATGAAAATAATTGGAAATAATAGGAAAGAAATTGTCTGAAATAACTAAAACAGGTGTCACTAGTAACACAGCAATTGATGTGACCTATAATTAATTTAATTCTAATTAAATATTAAATTAGATTAGATTAAACCCATAATTGAAAGGAACAAGATTGTTTCTCAACAAAATTGTTTAAAACAAATTGTTTGAAGTAAGTGGAAAAGAGTTATGTGATGGTTGCAGTTGAATCCAGAAGAAATGGAAGGAAAGTGGCCAATGACTATGTTATATTCTCTTTACTACGAATTTGGGAAATTTGAACCTTTCTCGAGGGTCGCAGGAATGAGGGACAAAGCTACATCAGCGAAAAGTAAGTTGCAATTAAATTATCTTGTTCTTTTAAAATAACGTAAACCTAACTTAAACATAGCAGAATAATACCATGAGAATTACAATTTCCTTTTTTTAATTAATAGAAGAAATAGAAGACATTAACAAAATAGAATTAAGAGAAATTAAAACTCAAAGATAATTTAAATAATTTTACGTCTATATTACATTTCTTGTATTTGTTTGAAAAACATATAGTACATAAATATGTAAAAAAATGCAACCGAAAACAGAATCATGCAAATATTACGTTGAATTAATATTATAGTGAATTAAAGTATCGAGTTTTCTCTAAAATAAAAAATTCCAGATATACGAAAAATTAGTAAAACTTCGTATGTCTCGACTATAAATATGCAGATTTAAGAAGAATGTAGAAAACCCTAATTGACTAATTTTTATTAAACAGTTTGAAACATTTACTAATTTCATACGCTATTGAAAGGAAATTATCGTGTAATTAACTCAGTGAATTGCTTCTAATTGCATAAGACTAATTATGTCATTTTTTCTCCTTGCAGCGGAACTCGTATTCCGGATGTTCAATTACACCCTTGGCAAAGAGCTATTCCAGAAAGGCGTTAGAAATTTCATAAAACAGAATTTTGAAAAGTAGTAATTGTTTATATCAATTAGCCGGGAAGTAGATTTTAAATGCAAATTTCAAAATATATATTTCTACTATAAAACGCTTTGCTATGAAATTTCATAGAAAATTTTTTATTTATAAAATTAATATATTTCACTTCTAATTTTGTGTAAAATTAATATGATATATTACCTTTTTAATATATCATAATACTATCATAACTATCAAATATGTATAACATTCGCGAATCATAGTACTCACAATTTCCTAACCTTAAATTAAATAATTTCAAATAGTTAGTTTATATTAAATAATAGACTAAATAACTATTTAAAATTATTACTAAATTAAATAATAGACTAAATAACTATTTGAAATTATTACTAAATTAAATAATAATTTTAAATAATTAATTAGGTAAAGAATTAATGGATAATTGGAATTAACTTAAATTAATGACTATCGAAAATTTAGTAATACTCACAAATTATAATACCAACAATTGCATTAATTATGAACTTGACCGAACAGTTTTAAATAATTTTATTTGTTATATTATATAAGAAACTTTCTTCCTTTATGGTTATATAATATTTTAATAGTAGTAATATAAAAATTCCATCTTTCCTGCTTCTATATAAATATTTAATTTCCAAACAATACCAATAATAGTGAAACTAATTTTGAAATTTCTCAAAGTCTCTCAAAATTTTTCCAAAAATCACAAGGTGTTCCTATATTATATCATCAAACATAATTACACAAAAATTCATTACATGTTCCACAAACTCTGTTCACAAAAATATTGTCATTAGTTTTATTATTTCATTATTTCATTATTACAGATGAAGATGTATAGGAGATATATTATTAATTTTATATTTTTAAATGAAATAGTCAATTTTTATACTTGATTTTGATAAATTAATGAATACTAAGCATAAAAGTATTAAGCTACTTTTATCAAAAATATTTTGAAATATTTGACTCTGGTCATTCCATAACATTCATTATATATTGTTACATAAAGCAACATTTTTCATTGCTATCACTAAAACTGGATAAAGACAATAAGATAAACAAATGCACTTTAATACTATTATACTCAATATTCACCAACCTATCAAAATCGAGTACAAAAAAATTAAATATTCCATCAAACAAAAAGCTAAAACTTAACCTCTAAATATCAAACCAACCATATACTTCTGAAGTTGTTTTCAACTTCTGTAAGTAATATTTTCACCTATTGTTTGAAATAACGAAAATTTTCAAGTAGACAACGTCGATGGAGCACACTGTATATATAAAACATAAATCAGACATTTTATTTATTGCTTTCAACTGTATTCTCTATTCAGCCGTATCGTCAATCTCAGTTCTCAAACATGCAAGAACAAAAAAAAAAAATTACATTCTCTAGTCATTTTCATCACAGGTATTTCACGTTGACATTCGAATATTTTATTAGAGCATAAATCATTTTTAAACTTTTGCTTCCCGGCTATTTATTCTCTTAACTTTATCTTCATACCAATTTTATTTAACCACCGAATACAATTGTTTCCTTTTCTTTTTTTTTTTTTTTAATTTTTTTCAGCAACCAACGAACCTTCTTCGCAGACGACATTTATAACCGATTAAACGATGTCGTGAATGGAACGAACATTTTGCCAGAAGGCTTGACAGTGAACAGCATCGCAGGTCCATGGACTAATCGAGATAGAGTACCATTGGTCACTGTGAACCGCAATTATGAAGATCAGACGATTTCATTTACCCAGGTAAGTACGTGTTACGTTCGTAACGTTATCGGTGTTCGCCTCAGGGACACGAGAAACATAAGGATCTTATGATTTTCACACGGATAAAGCATCAATGAAGAGGAAACGCGGTGATGAATTTATTTGTGAGCGCCTTTGAATGAAGTCGATTCTCTTCTTGCATAAGTAGTGGCGGTTGTATGAGAGTAAATACATTACATAAATATATGAATACATTAAAGTATGTAATATATTTATATAATACTTATTAATTCATAAGTATATATTATATTAATATGATACATATATTAAAAGATATTTATATAAATAAATTTCTAAATTTCAAGAAATTAAAAGAAATTGTGTTTATATCTTTCATATATTATTTATGTATGTACTTACTGATATACATATGTTAATATACAATTCAGTGTATAGTAACAATTCAATCAGTTGAATAATTTTTGCTTAAAATAAACTTGGAATTAATATAGCATAACATAAATTCATTGGAATCTTCTAATCTTAAAACAAAAGATATAAATATAAAATGTTTTATAAATTAAAGATGTTAAAAATTATTAATTTTAAATTATTATACATGATACATTATATATTAACAAAATTTTTTTACTTATAATATGTGTAACAGAATTTTTAATTAATTTGCACATATACTTATGTTCATGTTTTCTTAAACAAAAATTACTCAGTAGAGTTTTCACATGTGGGCATGATTTAAGCAGGATGGATGTACAATTTATCGTATAAACATAGCAATACAATGAAGAAGACTCTGTCCTTGAACAGAAAAAAATGTTGTCCCATCTTTAAAGGAACTATTAAAGCAATCTTAACAATGTATAGTGTAATAGAAATAAAAACTTTAGAGCTGATAACCTTTCCTGTGAAGTGCATTTACATACCAGAGTAGGTCACTAATAATTACGTTTGTGGATACCTTAGTCCCTGAGTAGTTACATTGTTCGATTATCCACCAAAGAAACAGCAAGGCAAATAATTACAGCCTATATAACAGAGATATTGATTCTCCTCTGATTTAAAACTTATTCATCTTTGCAATCTTGGATTGTCTCAAACCTATTTCAAAAGCAAGTGATGAACTTCTTTCTTTCTGCATTTTTACTATACCAAAATGAAAAAATACAGCATTTTATTTAAAAATCATAAAATGATGTTGAAATAACCTTGAAAAATTAAAAATACAACATTTTTATTATCACAGCAACATTTTAAATAAGAAATGATGATAAAGCTGTTTTAACATTTTTATCCTATTATCTACTATTTAGTAGTTACATCATACATTCATATCCAAGTATTTAAGATCATAATCATAAAGTAAAAGTAATACATAAAATAGTCAACTGTTGTTAAAATACAATTAGTAAATTTTATTTAAACTAAATTGTTTCTAATTATTTTATAATGTCAATAACTACATACATGTATGTTAATGTAATTTTATGCTTTAAAACTAGAAATTTAATTTCTCTTTCTTTCTTAAATTGTTATTTTCTAATTCAATATTCTAAAACTATTTTTTTTATCTTTTTAAATACAAAGAAATAATACAATTTAAGTGCAATTTTTAATATTACTAATACACAAATTGATATATATTTTGAAATTATTTTGGCTATTATTATTCAACCATTCATTGCCAAGTTTTTAGCATTAATACTATATGATACTAATGACTTTCTTATTTTTTTAATTATAATTGTGTTCTTAGAATAAAGTTTTTTATATTCTAAATAACATTATAGTGACTATTTACTGCATGAAACATTTTAAGTAATTACTCTTTGTTGATTTTACCAAAACTTGAAAAGGAAGTGAAATAATATATATAATGTTAAAGCTAGTGTATTTATGTTACTAAGAAATGTGTTTACAGAAAGTCTACCTCAGAGAATCCCCACGTAACACTACTCCTAAAGTATCTTATGAATGGGACATACCATTAGTGATGATGACACAAGAAAATTTGGAATTTCATCCACCTTACAACCTATGGTTGACAAAAGGAAAAGGAGCTAACAATCTCATTATTGCAGATACCACTGATGAAAATCAATTTATTATTGTTAACCCAGAAGAAATAGGTATGTAAATAATAATTCAAGTTAAAACTAAAAAAACACAATATTTAGAAAATTGTTTAAACATTAGCAAGAGCGCTTAATTATTAAACCTGTAACAAAAACAAAATAATATAATAATGCTGTATTAATATTACAGGAATGTTTCTCAAATTTAGTTCAAGTTGTTAAAATAAATGTAATAAAAGATTACTTAATCTTTATTACTCAAAGACAAATACTTACTAATGAATTATTATTTCAACTGATAAAGTAAAATTTATATCACACTTCCAAAATTTTTGTGATCAAAACGAACTCAAACACAAGCTCAACGAGACTATTCCAAGTTACTAATATACTTATACTATATATCTACACTGCATTTTTCTATAATATTATTATTCATAAGATATATGGAAAAGGTAGATATTATAGAGCAATAATTTTATCTTTAAATACAAGATTTGACTTAATAACACGTGTTAGTATATTTTAAGGTTATGTCAATAAATATAACTCAAGATAGGTAGTGATTACTTTTAATTTTACTTTAAATATTCCTTATTATCAACCTTAAGCATTCCTTAACCTCATCTCCAAAGAGATAATTTCAAATAATGTGAAGTACATAGCTATAAATATAATTATATATAACGCAAAATAGTCTCGATCAATTCATATATTTATTCGTTTCAATTAGAAAATCTAAGTAATTTATTACAATTCTCATTATTAAATAATAAAAAAAGATTGTATAAATTTTACTTTTTCTCAGCCAAAATAATAATTCGTTTGTTTATTACAGCCACTGCGTATGAACTTACTTTACGTATCCTCTTGCTCACTCCTAACCATTATGCCTGTTTTACCTCTTGAGTTGAACTAAAAAAATTCAGGAATAAAAGTACGTTGTAGATTCGTTTATTTCAAATTTGCAAACCTCGAACATTTCAATATTAGCAAGATATTAGTCTAAATACTTTTAAAATAATATTCAAACAATAGACGAAATAAAATCTATAAAAAGACTTTGTAATATGTGTTACAGTTTTAAAACATATATTATAAACATGATTGTAAACAAAATTTAAAAAAAAAAAAAGATAAGGTATACTAATGAATAAAAAATAAAATTTAATTCAGTACCAAAGTTTGCTTTTAATAAAGCAAACATTATATAATCTTGTAAGATATTTTGTTTTACCTTTGTGAGACAGCCACAGACACGGCCATTGCACTTGTTGCATGATAAATTTATGTACATGACCAGCTGTGTCTATGCCTCACGGATAACAGCATCCAAAAATTTCAATGCGTTAGTACCAAAAGATTTTTATTAATATCTCGAAAAATAAAATGTTGTCCTTTACAACATATTTTAAGCTCATTAAAATCGGTTTATAAAAAAAGAACAGTTAATTGACGAGTTAACCAATACTATTAGATATTATTAAATAGAATAACGTCTTCAATTTAGGAACAAAGTGTCCCAACATTAAAGAATATAGTTTCTTACCCAAAACATTAACATGAAATTTCTATAATTTTACATTATAGAATTGAATGTTTATGAATAGATACATATATATGAAATAAAAATTTTTTTAATTTTTAATAAAAAATAAGGAATAATTAAATATATATTTATTAAACAAATGTTACTTTCATCATTTCGCTTACTTTCTGACTTGTAATTAGGTAGTGTATAAAATTTAATAGGATGATTTTACAGGTATGTTCCCGGTAAACTACGACTTCTGTAACTGGAAATTGCTATCGCAATTTTTACAAAGTCCAAAACGAGAAATGATTCCTCCTTTAACTAGAGCAAAACTACTACACGATTCTTGGAATTTAGCTTATTCTGGAGAACTTTGTTTTGAAATCGCATTAAATATGACTCTCTTTTTAAAAGAAGAAAGAAGTCATGTAGTATGGGAACCGGTGTTTATGATGATTGATCATGTCGGTAGACATATCGAAGGATCTGATGTGTATCCAAAATTCGAGGTAAATATTTCGTGTTTACGTTTATTCTATTTCATATTTTTTTCTTTTATATAAATATTTCACGTGTTTTTTTTTATTTTAGTATTTAACAAAATAATTGTATATACTTCTAAAGTTATTTATCATAAAATTAAATAATTTATGTTTTACTCAAATTTCATTCCAATTAAGGCAAATAAATATGATACTAGTTACTAATACATTTACTTCTTACTATTTTATATATTAAAATAACAAAAGATATAAAGTCTATAAATCAATTTTTTCCGATCTATATTTCTTATTGAAAAAAAAAAGAAAATAATAAATAGATTTAGCACAATGTCACTAAAGTAAACTTTTACCATATTTATTTTTGAAAATTCATAGTGCAATTTTTCTATATTGTTAAAATTCAATCTTCGACATTACTTCATATATTATTTCTCAATCGAAAAATATGCAAATATTATTTATTAAAATTTATCGATTTTTGCCTGATATTTCTAGCACATATTTGCTATATAAAGTGAACTATTATAAAATTTAAACACTAAATATTGGTAAAATTTTCGTTTTTATCTTAGGCATACATACGCACTTTGTTAGTGCCTTTCTATGAAGAACTCAATGAGACTATAGAGCCTGACGAACCATCTTGGAAAACTCATATGCGAGGCATGACGAAAAATTTTCTTTGTCATATTGGATACGAACCATGCGTTAACGAAGCAAGAGAGCAGTACAAAAAGTGGCTAACTGATGAGGACCCGGATAAGGGAAATCCGTTCGTAATCTTCATATCTTTATCTTTATCTCAATAGAAACTGTAGCTATTTATACTATAGATAAAAGATTATAGATAAAAATTATGTTAAGGAAATATTTAAAAAAGATAAAGATTATATTATAGCAAGCAAAATATGTTTTGATTTGTACTATTAATGTTCTACTAAAGCAGAAACTCATGATTTTCATTTATATTAAAGAATGGAAATCAAAACTTCTATTACAATATTACACTATTTATTAAAATGTCATTAATTATATCAAACTTTACAAAGAAATGACCAAAATGTTTTAAATTCTATAGTCCATATAACTAATGTATAGTGTTTAATAATGTATAATCCTTGAATATTGTTTTCTCTAAAAATTCTGTCAATTATTTATATTTAATATAGACTAAACTTCATTCGACATGGTTGTTATGACAAGAATTCATATCTTTTTTTTTCACAGAGTTGCCAATGAATTCATTTGTCCAGTATTCAAATGGGGTTCTGAGGAAGAATGGGAGTTTGGACTTCAACGCGTTATAAATTTCCCACAAAACAGTCCAGAAAGGAAACAAAATGAACGCACTTATCTTTTAAAATCCTTAGCTGGTTGTCCTAAAGATATGTACAAAATTGAAAGGTAACATACATCTATCTATATTTGGTAACATATATTGTTTATAATTCATAGATAATTTATTAAAATATATTATGACTAGAGTGGTTGAGAAAATTTGAATATTATAATTTTAAAAGTACTATTATTAAAATGTTTTGACTACCTGAAAGTAAAATAGATCTTTATTTAAAAATAAATTATTATTATACAGTCTTAATTAAATAACAATCTTGTTTTTATTATTTTCTTATAAATATCATTAATTGTTTTTAAATAGATATAAATTAGTCTATTAGACAAAATTATCAAATATGCTAAAACTACATATTAATGAGAAATAAAGCTAGTGCAAATTCAGTAATGATATTGTATGTTATATTTTTATTTAGAAAAGTGATAATTAATCATTTTTATAATAATAATAATATTTCAGGCTGTTAAATGTAACAATTTTTGATCAGAATGCAAACTTCAGTGACTCTGATATCCAATTAGTCTTTGCTATATTAAGTGGTAGAGCAGCTGGTTATACAACACTCTTCAACTTTTTAACTGATAACTGGGATACTATAAAACAAAGATTTGAGGATAACAAACGCGTTTGGTATCATATAATCAAAAATGCAGCTTTTTCATTTAGCTCTGAGAAGGGTTTAGATCTGGTTCGTAAATTATATGAGAGCAATACAGAAGAATTCCACCCACCTAATTCTATGGTCCACAAAGCTTTCAAAAAAAGAAGAAATGAATGGAATGAAAAGAATATTCCAGTAATTAATGGTTGGCTCATGGAAAATTTGCCAAAAGAAGAACTAGAAGCACTTCAAGTTTATACAGTCACTACTACTATGACCCCTAGCATAGAAGTTCTAGCATAATTAAAAAAGTAGACTCATAATTAGGAATTGAACAAAAATGTTAATAATTTAAAAGTATAAAAAAAATTTTTAATTTCCTGAAATGTTTACAAACTATATCTTGTACCAATTGTCAACTGCTTGAAATTTAGATATATCAATGATTTGTGCCACCAAAGTGATTATGAAGAATAAACTTAAAAATTAGTTGAATTAATAAATATCAGTATATTCATTACATAAAATTATCAAACGAATTGAATGAAATTTGATTTTAATAATAATTTGTTAAAATGGATTATATTTTTTTTTTTTATCAAAGGTACAAAGCTTTTACAAATGTTATAAACATATTACTGTTATATATGTGTTATTTTAATTAAAATAAACAATGCAATTATGTAAATTACAAATAACTAAAATCTGATAAATTTGATAACTAATTTTTGTCTGAAACAATAACATTGTTTGTATCAGCTTAAGTATTGTTTAACTGAATAAAACTTACATAATAATGTAATAAATGTTTTTAAAATAGATTACTCTACAGTTAAACATTAAAAATTAATATTAGAATATTTTTAAAATTCTTTGCAATAACATAATAAGCCATATTAAAATAAACTGTAAAATATTTATCAATTATTTTTTAAAATAATACGCATTGATTTATATTTTTTTATTTATTTATTTGATTATCTTAACAAGTATAGATTATTAGCATACAAAAAGTATATAAACATTGAAAATAAACTGAGATTGCAATAAAACATGATCAATTGATGTCAAATTCTCGTATCACTCATTTACATTGGGCACTCTTCGACATTCATAAAATAGAATTATAAATACAATTTACATTATTTTACATATGATGTAGAAGAAAAGCACTGTGTATTATGTGTATTGTGTGTGTGTGTGTGTGTGTGTGTGTATGTGTGTGAATTGTGTTTGGTGGTGTGTGTGTACATATAAAATGTGCATTTAAGCTTAAGTTTATAGTATTAACCAATGGAAACAAAAATAAAAAAATTCATATATTACTAATAAACACTGCTTGAAATATTATACTTTAGTATTCCTTACAAAGTATTTGAAAAGTTTTATAATGTGAATAACACAAACGAATTTCTTTCTTCTTTCTTTATTTATTACAATTGTAATTTAAATACATATGTAATCTTAAATAAAGCACATATAAAATTTATATATATATATATATGTTGTATTTATAAATATTATTATTGAGGAATATTTAAAATATTTAAAAACTACTCATATTTTGTAGATGCATATATTCATACAGGAGACGTAAGATGGCAGCATATCGAGTTTATCCGAGATTGTTCGAGATTGTCCTATTATTACGTTACATCATAGAATATACTCGTAGGTTAAAGTAGACTATCTATATCGAAGTATAAGATGGCTAATTTTTAAGTTTCGTTTACGTCCTAATTTTGTGTATTTTAACACGTTAGTGAGCAAATGTTGTGTAAACTTGCTGATTTTTTGTATCGACACTCACGGTGGTGCTTCATGAAAGTTGCTAGAGAATGCATAAACGCGCTATGTCAATATCCATCATTAATCGAAATTGATCGCATACATATAATCAAGGGTTTCAATGCTTTTTTTCAAACTACTCTCGATAGAGGAAGATTAACATTTTAATCATATCTCGGTATATATTTTTGGGAATACCATTAATTTGTTACCTAACATATATTCAACATTTTTAATTATTTCATTCATTACTTAATTCATTATAGTGCTAATATTTTTATTTCTTAATTTGCAGCCACAATGGTTGAGAGTGCTAAATGTTGTGTCCTGCAATGGGCTGATCATGCAAAATATATTACAGAAAAATTTAGTGGGCTGTTGGCACGTCAAGTACTTGTTGATGTAACACTCGTATGTGAAGAACAAAAGCTACGTGTTCACAAACTGGTTTTAGCATCAAATAGTACATATTTTGAGGTATGCTTTAAAATATATTTCTATAAGAGGAATTCATTATAAGTTGATTTTATTATGTTTGCAAAGAAAATAAAAGTTTATCTTGGAAATCTATAGTTTCATATGTTATATAGGTACTTATAATTTAAAAAAAAGTATTTATAATGTACCATACGTTTTTTATTTTAGTTTTAAAATTATTTTATAAATAAAATTAATAAACATATATAGATTTTCTCAGAGTTCTTTCATTAATTTATTTAAAAAATTTAACTGAAGTATCTTAAAATTGTACTTGTAAAACTAGATAGATAGATAGATAGATAAATAGATAGATAGATGGATAGATAGATAGATAGATA